GTGTGTGTTTGATCAGCTGCCTCCTATCTCTTTAATCTTACCCTACTGAGGAAGATGAACAGTTACTTACATCATGGAGTTTCCTTTACTCTGTAACAGTTAGCTTCCTCTGCTCATATTGATCAGATTTACAGAGGCTATAATACTAAAGCTTCTAGCATTAAATAACAAGGCTCAACCAATTTCTTTAGAAGTGTTTGCACCGTGCCCTGCAAGTAGGCCATGTAGGCAAAGCCAACAGGTGACTGCTTGTGGCTGTTGTGTTTCGCCCACAGGAAGCTGGAAGTCAGGACTTAGATGAGAAAAATATTAGATATTGGGGCATCATGAAGGGCTGGAAGCAAACGGGAGGGGATCTTTCGGTTTACGGAAGGAAAACAACTATTTTGGAGGTTAAAGTGAAAACCAAGTACATGAATTTCAGAGACTTACTGGTCCTCCTCTGAGCCCAATGGGTCCCACCTCTCCTTGATCACCACGTTCACCCTAGTGAACAAGATATCAGACAAGATAATCATCAGAGCTCCAAAAGGCAAGAATTTTTGTCATCTACTCATAGTAAAAGTTATCTGACTAATCTATTAGTTGGTACCTTTAACCCGGTAAGGTGCAGAAGTTTAATGTGCTTTTACATGCGTCTATTGAGACTTTTGCTTAACAATTTAATGAACCTGATGCATCTCGCCTTGCTTCAAACTTACTTGTTTCCCTGGAGACCCCATCAGACCAACAACTCCTGGATCGCCTGCGTTACCCTGGTGACACAGAGAGACAAACAGAACATCATTGGCTCATCTTTCTGCAGACATCGTTTTGTTTTTCACGAGGTGTTGGTACAGAAGCATTGATCATACCTTTGCACCTCCGTGTCCTTTTTGACCATAAGCTCCCGGCAAACCCTACATGAAGAAAATTGTAATAAGTGAAAATATCTGAGTCAAGAAAAGATGTTAATGAGGAATCAGGCTGTCAGACGTCACTTACAGGAAGTCCCTGTGGGCCAGCATCACCTGGAGCCCCACTTTTTCCTGGAAGACCCTAAAAATAAAAACAATTGAACTGCTAAAGGAGGAGGAACTGCTAAACACCTTTATTGTTATTGTATTATTGTTGCTAAAAGTAATTCCTTATTAATTAGATATTAATTAAAACAGTTACCTTGGACCC